CCTCCCTCTCTCTCTGTGTCTCTGTCTTAGGCGGCGCGCGCCACCAATCTCTCTCTCTCTCTCTCTCTCCTTCTCTCTCTCCTCCTCTCTCCCCCTCGCGGCGTCCGCCCGCGCCACGCGCCCCTCCCTGGCGCGACCTGCGCGAGCACGACCCACGTGTCCCAGCGTCCCCCTCTCGGCGTGGACGCTCGGCCGCCACCTCCCCTCGGGGAGGGAGGGCACGGCTCAGACCAAGGATCACAGTTAAGTCGGGCCGGTCACCCCCAGGGGCGCGAGGAGAATCGCGCTTCGCGCTTCACGGCTTGGGCTGGAGAGGCGTCTGTCTCCATGGCGGCGGCGCGAGGGCGCGAAGCTGACCGCGCGTCGCGCATCGCGGGGCGCGATGCGCGAAGTCAGGTGACCCAGGTGGGCGCGCATGCGGGGCTCTCTTGGGCCACTTTGAGGCCTCAGCAGCCCACTGGAAGCGACAAAGAGAGAATTCACCGATCTTCCCCAGCTGCGCTTTACCTGAGGGGTCCTTCTTTGTTCGTGACGCGAGAGTTTTCATGACCCCTCCTCTTCCCCCTCCAAATGCTACCCCTAACAGGGCATCCCTCCCCGTGTGATACCCATAACCCAGGTAGTCAACTCTTTTCTCCGCACGCGCTACCCTCACCTTGGCCTGCGCTGGCATGCATTGGCATGCGTTGGCATGCATTGGCATGTGTTGGCATGCATTGGTATGCATTGGCACGCTGTGGCATACGTTGGAAGCGTTGGCATGCATTTGCATGCGCTGGCATGCATTGGCATATTATGGCGTGCGTTGGCGTGCATTGGCATGCATTGGCATGCGTTGGCATGCATTGGCATGCATTGGCATGTGTTGGCATGCATTGGCATGCGTTGGCATACATTGGCATGCATCGGCATGCATTGACATGCAGTGGCATGCGTTGGCGTGCGTTGGCGTGCATTGGAATGCATTGGCATGTTGTGGCATGCAGTGACATGCGGTGGCATGCATATGCATGCGTTGGCATGCGTTTGCATGCACTTTCATGCGTTGGCATGCACTTTCATGCATTGGCATGCGTTGGCGTGCTATGGCACGCGTTGGCATGCATTGGCATGCGTTGGCATGCATTTGCATGCCTTGGCATGCATTGGCATATTATGGCGTGCGTTGGCATGCATTGGCGTGCATTGATGTCGGGTTTCCCCAACGGGTGGCTCTCGGCCGTGCTTGGAGAGAACACCGGTGAGTTGGGCAGCTTCCCGCTGCACTGAGAGTGTTTTGGCCGTACTTGGAATTTACATTCAGCGGCAGGGAGGCGCGCGGACTCATTAGGGGCCCGACTGCTCCCCTCGAGGGGAACCGCTGGGCAGTTCAGCGCACGGCTACAGATTCAGTATGTGTGCGGACCACTGCGGAGGCAAGTTCGCTTCCCCGACTTGGGATGCCATCCTGTAGGAGCCCGGATTTGACCAGATCACCAGAGGGCATAGGGTGAGGAGGGGGCGGTGGACAGAGAAGGCGATAGAGAGGTGGAGCATCGACCAGTGCTCCTCACTAAGCACCTCAATATCATTGCTGTCCTCCGCCCCCCGCTTCAGGCCGCGTGGCAGGTTTTCGAAACGGCCAGACCCCGCTCCCTTGGGGGCTGAGGTGTGTGAGCCCGACCCACGGCCGAAGGGTACGTCCGTGACAATCCTCCTCCTCTTCCTCCTCCTCCTCCTCCTCCTCCTCCTCCTCCTCCTCCTCCTCCTCCTCCTCCTCCTGCCCCACCTTTCGTTTTCCCCCTACTCGCATCAGGTCCCCGCCCCCTCACCTGGCCATCGACAGCACTTCGCCGCCGCTGGGGCCGCCATCGTCGTCATCTCCCTCGTCGTCGTCCTCGTGGCCCGTCGGACGCCGTCGGCAGCCGTCTTGAGGGCCTCTCTGGGCCGAGTTGTGGTCCTCTTGGGGTGCTCCACGGCCGTCTTGGAGGCCATCTTGGGTGTTTTGGGAGCTTCTTGGGCCTTTGTGGGGCGACCTGTGGGTGCTCGTGGGCCGTCTCCGGCCGTCAGAAGGCCGAACAGAAACAAATGCCAAAATCTGTCAAAAACATTCCTGGAAAATCAAGGATGTTGGCCGCTCCAGGCCTTTTGGAGGGCCTCTTGGATGCCGTTTGTGTTGTCTTGGGAGCATATGGGGCCGTCTTGGTGGCCTTCTGGCCCGTCTGACGCCCTCGGAAGCCATCTTGATGGCCTCTCTGGGCCGACTTTGGGCCCTCTTAGGTGCTCCAGGGCCGTCTTGGAGACCATTTTGGGCGTTTTGGAGGCCCCAGGAGGGCCGTCTTGGGGCCCTCCTGGGGGCCTCTTGTCTCGTTCTGGGACCATCTTGGAGGCCTCTTAGGCCTGGGGCCGTCTCGGGTCGTCGGAGGACCGAAGAGAAGCAAATGCCAAAATCCTCCAAAAACCGCTTGGAAATCAATGATTTTGACTTCGTCGGGCCTTTCTGGAGGACCTCTTGGGAGGCCTCTGGGACCGTCTTGGAGGCCTCTTGGGAACCTTTTGGGGCATCTGGGGCCATCTGGGGCTATGTTAGGACGTCTTGGACGCATCTTGGAGGCATCTGGAGGCCATCGTGTCCATCTTGGAGGCATCTTGGAGGCCATCTTGGGCCATCTTGGCGGTATTGAAAGCCATCTTGAGCCGTCTTGGGATTTTTTGTTTGAGAATTCTGGGCCTTCCTGGTGGCAGAAGGGACGGGCCGAAGCCCCAGGGAGAGTTCGAAAATAAAACCAAACCGTCTAGGATTCAGCACGCCCGGCACCCTTGTGACAAGCTAACAGGGGGTGGCAGATTGCAGACGCCTACGGCGAATCACCGCCGCGCCCTGCCTTTTCGTTTCGCCAATTTGGCCGAGCGTTGTGGCAAGAGCTCTGCCAAGCTATCGGGCCATATGTCCCCCAGCCTTTGTAGAAACCCTTCGGGGAACACTCGGGAGAGGATGGCGGGGAAGATCACGAGGAGGAGGAGGAGGAGGAGGAGGAGGAGGAGGAGGAGGAGGAGGAGGAGAGGAGGAGGAGGGAGGAGGAGGAGGAGGAGGAGGGGCATCTTGGGAGCCTCTGGAGGCACTCATGGGGCCTCCATGGAGCTTCCTGGGAGCCTTTTGGGGCATCTTTGGGGCCTCCTTGGGCTTCTGAGGGGCCTTTGGGGGCTTCTCGGGGGCCTCTTTCCGTCTAACGCCGTTGGAAACCGTTCTGGGGGCCTCTCTGGGCCGACGTAGGGCCCTTTTGGGGCGTTCCAGGGCCTTCGTGGAGGCCATCTTGGGCCTCTTGGAGGCCTCTGGGCCGTCTTGGGGCCCTCTTGGGGCCGTCTTGGGGGCATCTTGCGCCGTTCTGGGGCTGCTTCCGAATATGCATCCTCCCACTCGTCACGCTCATGTTCTTGGCGTTGGTAAGCTTACGTCGTTATCTCCATCTATAGCTCCTCCGTCTCCTCCTCCTCCTCCTCCTCCTCCTCTCCTCCTCCTCCTCCCTCCTCCTCCTCCTCCTCCTCCTCCTCCTCCTCCTCCTCCTCTCCGCACACTCCGCACCATGAACAACAACACAATCATAAGCATCACCACCACAGCCTTCATCATCAAGCCTGGCTCCGAGCGCTCACGCTAGGCACGCGCGAAGGTTTCCTGCCGCCCGAGGAGGCCGACCGGTACCGTCAGGCAGCTGCCCGGGGTCCGCATCCTCCCCGATGGCCCCTCTGCATGCCATAGGCGACGACCCGCGGCTGGCGCGAGCGGCCTCTGGGCTGCAGTGACGACCCGCACCGGCCGCGCACGCCGCGAGCTCTGGGGGCACGGTGCAGCAGGCTCCGAGGCGGGAATTTATACACATTGCTCATTTCGAATTGTTCTATCCTGGGCTTCTTCCTGGCCGCTAGGGGGCCAGGCACAATTAGAAACGAGCACAATTAGAAATGAGCACGATTAGACATGAACGACGTGTACATGACCACCGCCTGGAGGGTCAGTTTTCGGAGCCTCGGCAGGCGGTGGATATGGACATACTCGGGCCCCCGGGGGCCGAAAAAAACAATATATATATATATATATATATATATATATATATATATATGTATATATATTATGCACAGCCACCGCTCGCTGGGGCATCAGGACGTCGGCTCCCAGGCGGTGGAGATGGACAAATCCTCGCCTCGCACAGGCGCCGCTCCAAACGGCAGGGGCCGCGGAGCCGAGGGCCATCTCGCAGGCGCGGCGCGGCCCGGCCCGGCCCGCCCGCCAAGCCGGACGCCCTGCGCGCCGTGGCCGCCGGCGGCGGGCGCCCTCGGGGCAGGCGGGCCCGCGCCGCTCCGCCCAGGACATGCCGCCTGCAGGCCGCCGTGGGTCTGCGTCTGGCGCCTGTGCCGGGGGCATCGGCGGCCGAGCATCATCACCATGCACAAGGTCAAAGCCCTCACTGGGGGACCACATGCGAGCCCTTCCCCTACCCCACACGATTTCTGAGGGGGAGCGTGAGGTTCACTTCGCTCGAGCGAAGTGAACCTCACCCTCCCCCTCGGAAATCGTGGGGGGTAGGGGAAGGGCTCGCATGTGGCCCCCTGCACACGCCGATGGGCCAGGTCCACGAGGCGCAGCTGGTGCCGGAGTCGAGCTCGCCGCCCGCCAGCACCCGAGCGGCCACGCGGCGTTGGGCCTCGTCGAGCGCATCGGCGGCACCGCCCTGGCGGCCTGCTGCTGGCGCGGTGAGGCGACGCAGGTCGGCCGCTCACTCCTCGACGCGGACGGCGGGCACGTGGGCGCCTGGCATGGCCGCCGTGAAGTGCCGTGCGTGCCGCAAGAGGGCGGCGGCAGCCTGTACCCTCCAGGCCGAGGGATGCCGGGGCCCCGCGCGCGGCCGCCACGGCAGCGCCACTGGGCTGCCAGATGCCCTGGCCCGCCGGGCGCGCGACGCTAGCTCGGTCTACGGAGTGCCGACCGCAGGAGGGCCCAGGTCGTGCACCGACATCGGCACCGCATTCACGCCACACAGTACCGTCTTGGCATCCTTATCGTGATCGTCCTCCCTCGTGTTCTCCTCCTTCTCTTCCTTATCCGCCTCCTCTGTCCGTGGCCGTTTTGGCTCGGAGTGCAGCGCAGGGGAGCAGGGCCGAGCATCTCTGTAGGCCTCGGCATTTCCGCGAAGTGCCAGAGGATGCCGCCCAAGAAGAAGGTGGAGGAAGAGGCCGTCGGGCCATGGATGCTTGGTCGCTGGTCCCGGTCACTGAAGGTCGGCTTGGTGGGGATGCCGAACGTCGGCAAGAGCACGCTCTACAACAGCTTGAGCAAATCGCATCACTCGAAGACCGCAAACGTTCCGTTCTGCACGATAGACCCCTCGGAGACAAGGGCGTACATGGAGGACGATCGCTTTGAATGGCTAGTTGCCAAGGACAAGCCCGCCAGCGAGGTCAGAGCATTTGTGACAGTAGTTGATATTGCTGGGCTGATATCAGGCGCCTCCAAAGGAGAGGGCCTGGGGAACGCGTTCCTCTCGCACATCCAGGCCGTTGATGGCATCATCCACGTTCTTCGCGCCTTCGAAGATGACGACATCATTCATGCCGAGGACACGGTCGACCCCGTCAGGGATATCAACACCATAATGGCAGAGTTACGCATCAAGGATCTCAGTAATATGCAGTCCAAGAAGGAGATGCACAAGAAAGCGCAGAGCGCTGCCAAAGCAAAGTCCCCCGCGCACGCTAAGAAGTGGGCAGAGGAGCTCGAGACCATGGAAAAGATAATGGAGTGCTTGGAGTCGGGGACCGACATCAAGAGGAACATGTCTCATTGGACGACCAAAGACATCGAGTACCTGAACGAGTACATGCTGCTCACAGCTAAACCGTGCATGTTTGCAATCAACATGAACAAGAAAGACTACTGCAGAAAGAAGAACAAGTTTCTCAAGCCCATCTTCGAATGGGTGAACGAGAACTCGCCCGGGAGCGCCATGATCCCGTATTGCGGCGCCTACGAGGAGGAGTTGCAGGACATGGAGACCGAGGCGGCGCGGGCGGAGCAGCTGAAAGCGGACGAGACCACGAGCGCGATGAACAAGATTATCACGACGGCCTTCCACATGCCGAAGAACAAAAAAACGCGTAAGCATCTTTGTTGGAGGTCCGCGCGGATTTCTCGGGTGAGCGATGGGCCCCCCTCCAATGGCCCGTGAAGCGTGTCAGGGGCGGCGCCGGAGTGGCCTCAAAGGGGAGGGTCCATCTCCGACGCAGGCAATCTGCGCGGACCTCCAAAGTTCATGCTTACGCCCTCATTTGTTCCTCTAACATGGTCCACCTGATCAATTTCTTCACCTCGGGGCCAGACGAGACCAGGGCATGGACCATCCGCAAGGGCTTCAAGGCGCCGCAGGCCGCCGGATGCATTCACACCGACTTCGAGAAGAAGTTTATCATGGCAGAGGTCCAGGCGTTCACGGATCTGAAGGAGCTCGGTTCCGAGACCGCAGTGAAGGCCGCTGGCAAGTACCGGCAGGAGGGTAAGAATTACGAGGTGCAGGATGGCGACGTGATCTTCTACAAGATCGGCAAGTGAGAAGCCTCTAGTTTTGGTTCATTCCCCCCGAGTCTAGTTCGGCCGCGTCACCCTGGCACTTGCCCTCGTTCGCCCTCCGCCGTTGCGTGGTTTTGGTTTCAGAGCGCCCCCACCACCCATCGGTAACGACCACGCGAATAATCTGTCGTTGAACGAAATGTTCCTCCTCCTCCTCCTCCTCCTCCTCCTCCTCATCCACCATCCTCTTCTCTTCCCTTCCTCTCCGCTACTCGTCCTGCTCCTCCTCCTCCCGCCTCTTCTCTCTCTCGTCCTGTCTGCTCCTTCTCTTCCACCTAAGTAGCGACCGCGGGACAACCATCGGGACGGCAGCATGACCATCGCTGGACGAGCGAAGCTCTGGACCCGGCGCGCTTACGGGGGCGGAGCAATGTGATGTGAATTTCCACCAACGACAGTTTGTGGAATACAGTCAAGGTGCATGGTAAGGAAGTACAACTTTCCAATGTTGCGCTTGCATCCTTGCCCCTTCGGCCCATGCTTGGCAGCTTTCGCTGGCTAGCCCCGTTCGAAAAATCGTCAACATGGCCCTTCAAAGCCCCTGTACCCTTACCGCGCACCCTTATTATGCGTTATGACTGTATCGCATAGACCACGCTTCGAGTGATGAAGAGGTTATGGGGAGGGAGTGACCTCATCGTTCAGTTGCCTTGGGCGAAATATTCAAGCAAGCACGAGTGCACACACATTGGGGCATCAATATGGAGTTGCAGGTATGCAGAAGTCTATCTGCCTACCACTCCATCTGTCCATTCACCTGGGGATCTAGCTGGTTTAATGCAGTGAGCCTCTATTTGCATAGAAAACTGGTCTGGGAGAACTTCGGGCCCGGTCGGGAATGCTGATTCGCGAGCCCCCCAGGTGGGCCCAAGGCGGCCCCAGATGGCTCCAAGACGGCCCAGGAGGGCCCCAGGAGGCCTCAGGAGGGCCCGACGAGCGCCCAAAGACGGCCACGATGGGCCCAAGATGGCCCAAGATGGCCACTCGACGGCCCACGGGCTCCAAAGATGGCCCAAGGGGATCTGACGGCGACTTCCAAGAGGCCCTGGGGGGCAAAAATTATGGGTTCCTTAGGTGTCGGTTCCATTTTTGCATACTCAGCTTCTCGGTCTCCAGAGCGCTCGAGACGCGCTCCAAGATGACTCGATAGGCGCCCAAGAGGTCACAAGACGAGCCCAAGAGGGCTCAAGAGGGGCCCAAGACTGCCCCAGAAAGGCTCCAAGAGGGCCCCTGGAGGGGCTCCAGATGGCCCAAGAGGGGGCCCCGAGACAGCCAAATTGGGCCCCCTCAGACCGCTCCAGAACAGCCCCAAGAGGACGCAAATATTGCCCTGAAGCACCAAGACGGCCTCACCCGGCCCCAAGACGGCCCAAGAGGCCAATACGGCTTGAAAATGGCCGCAGGAGATCACGAAGAGAACCCACTCGGGACTCTGCAGAAGTACAGCGACAGTCAGAAAATCCATGTACAGATGTGTATGTCTGTATCATGTATGCACACACAGTGGCCTTCGGCCAATCCCGCCACCTTGCATGCGTTGTCGGTCAGAGGCCCCTTGGATGCCTGTGAGGATTTGTTGGGAGACCCTTCGGACGAGGAGAAGAGGTAGGGAGGTAGGTCAGTAGGGAGGTAGGTAGGTAGGTCTGTAGGTCTGTAGGTTTGTTGGTAGGTAGGTCGGTCGGTCGGTAGGTAGGTGTCCTCCCGTAGAGGACTGTATGTCGGGCCCGCGTGCTCAGGTCTTTGGCAGAGGGTTGAAAGCCCAGCAGGAGGAGGAGGAGGAGGAGGACGAAGAGGAGGAGGAGGAGGAGGAGGAGGCGGAGGAAAGGGGGGGGGGGAGGGGAGGAGGAGGAGGAGGAAGGTAGGAGGAGGACGAGGCCGAGGGGAGGTAGGAGGAAAGAGGAGGAGGAGGAGGAGGGACGAGGAGGAGGAGGAGGAGGAGGAGGAAGAGGAGGAGGACGAGGACGAGGACCAGAAGGTAGGAGGTAGGAGGAAGACGAGGAATAGGACAAGGACGAGGAGGTAGTGGGAGGAGGTAGGATGATGATGATGATGCTGATGATGATGCTGATGCTGATGCTGATGCTGATGCTGATGCTGATGCTGATGCTAATGATCCTGATGATGATGATGCTGATGATGATGATGATGATGATGATGATGATGATGATGATGATGATGATGATGATGATGATGATGATGATGGTGATGGTGATGGTGATGGTGATGGTGATGGTGATGGTGATGGTGATGGTGATGGTGGTGGTGGTGGTGGTGGTGATGATGATGAGGAGGAGGAGGAGGAGGAGGAGGAGGAGGATATTGAGGATAACGAGAACGAGGAGGAGGTAGGAGGAGGACGAGGACGAGGAGGAAGGGAAGGAGATAGAAGCAGGAGGAGGAGGAGGAGGAGGAGGAGGAGGAGGTGGGAGGAGGACGAGGAACGAGGAGGAAGGAAGGAGATGATAGAAGGAGGAGGAGGAGGAGGAGGAGAGGAGGAGGAAGGTGGAGGAGGACGAGGCCGAGGAGGTAAAGGGGAGGAGATGGAGGAGAGGAGGAGGAGAGGAGGAGGAGGAGGAGGAGGAGGAGGATGGATGAAGGAGGGGAGCGAGGCAGGAGGAGGAGGAGGAGGAGGAGGAGGAGGAGAGGAGGAAGGGGAGGAGATCAGAGGTGGAGCAGAAATGGAGCGTTAGGAATAAGGAGGAGGAGGAGGATGGAGGAGGAGGAGGAGGAGGGAGGAGGAGGAGGGGGAGGGAGGTGGAGGAGGAGGGGATAAGGAAGAGGAGGAGGAGGAGGAGGATGACGCCAGGGACGACCGAAGAGGCCTGCCCCCCTGGCAGGCCGCGTGGGCGCCCGCCGCCCCCTCCGGCGCCAAGCGCGACGACGGCAGCGCCGGGCGCCCACCCGCCGAGCGGGGGGCGCGCTGCGCCGGCGAGGCGCCGCTGGCCATGGACTGCAGCCAGGGCGTTGATTTTCGGGCCGCTCTCCTCGCTCCTCCTCGCTTTTCTCTCCTCGCTTCGATTCTATCTCCCTTCTCTCGCTCCTCGTCACCGTCCTCTCACGCCATCCCTCCCCTTGATCGTCTTCCCCACCCCTCCAGTCTATCAATATAATAATCGCCTCCTTGGTTCCTCATATTCTGGTCCCCCTACCTCTCCGCTCCTCATCATAATCCTCCTCCGCCTTCTATCTCCTTCCCTTCCTCCTCGTCCTGCGTCCTCCTCCTCCTCCTCCTCCTCTCCTCCTCCTGCCTCTCCTCCTCCTCCTCCTCCCCTCATCCTCTTGCTTTATCATGCTCGTCCTCAGTACTATCCTCCTCCACCTCCTAACATTCACTCCTTCTCGCCTCCTCTCCTCCCTCCTCCTCCTCCTCCTCCTCCTCCTCCTCCTCCTCACTCCGCCTCCTCCCTCCTCCTCCTCCTCATTTTCCTCGCAGAGACAGACGGCCGCCGCGCAAGTGGGTGCGCGCCTTCCTCTTCTCCTCCTCCCCCTCCTCGCCATCCGCCTCAAGCATCCTCCCCCTCCGCCTTCCCGCCCTGCCGCCTGGCTCCTCGGAGGTCATCCCTCCTCGCTCATCCTCACGCCTCCTCTGCCTCCTCCTCCTCCTCCTCTCCTCCTCCTCCCCCTCCTCCTCAGCCTCCTCCTCCTCTCACTACCACATGCCGCCTACCTCCTCCTCCTCCTCCTCCTCCGCCTCTCCCCCTCCTCCTCCTCCCCTCCGCCTCTCCCCTCCTCCCCCCCCCCCCCCTCCTGCTCCCCTCCTCTTCCTCCTCCTCCTTCTTCTCTTCCGCCTCCACCCCCCCCCACACACAACAAACAACCACAACCACAACTACCCGTCTGTCGTTGAGAGTAGGTATACCTTGATTCCCAGATCCCAGTCTGATTCAAGCGCCCTTCCTACTCAAGCGCCCTTCCTACGCCAAGAATCGGTATGCTTTTGCTGTGTCATGGTATTCTCTGGGAAGGCCTGAACCCCATCTACTTGACCTGCCGTCCTAATTCAGGGTTTCACCTGCTCCTTCCGACCCACGTGCAAGTGAATTTTCCGGGAGGGCCCCTCAGGGGAGAACCCGCCGAACTCGACGTGAGCATTTTGATGGTGGTTGTGGTCGATGTGGCCGTCAACAGCCAGTACGGAGCTGGTTTCTGTGTTTGGGTATTGTTCGGCGTGCGCAAGACATCCCCCAGAGTGTATCCTCGATGTGGTTGTGGTCGCTTGCTGTCCCCGCATCGGTGTAGTGGAACCTGCTTTTGGTCTAGGCCCGCCGTGGCCAGAAAAAACATTTGGTCCTTGATGTGTGTGTGTGCCTTACAGTAGCATGATGAGCACAATGATCAACATCTCGCATCCGTCCCACGGAAGCAGGCGCTGCCTCCGTACCTGCGGCAAGGCTGTGTCGTGGCGACGTCGGCCTTGGCTTCTGACCACGCGTGGGTAGTTCAACCTTGAACGACAGCGACTTCTTAGTGTGGATCGCTCGAGAGTTGCGGATTCTGGGCCAACGTTATGATGTTCCAGCCTACGTGTGCCTTTATCACAAGAAAGGAGTTCGAGCACCAGGAAAGTACCAAAAGTGGAGTGCTTTCACGTGTCGGGCCCTGGGAGGCGATACTCGTTCGACACCGCTTCGATATTGTTTTGGCAGCAGCATAAGGCCCACGTCGGCGTTCAACCTGGATGACCCGCGATGGGTTGTGTGCACGCTGGCATGGAGCAGAGATCCGCGGATCTGGCGCGTGGGCGCCCCAAGAGGCTTCCAAGAGGGCCTTCAGGAAGGCCCGAAGAGGCCAAAATCATTGATTTCCTTAAGGTTTTAGAAGGATTGTGGCATTTGCTTACCTTCGGCCTTCCGACGGCCCGAAACGGCCCAAAAGCTCCCAAAGATCGCCCCGAGATCACCCGAGGGGCCCGAGAGATGGCCCCAGAACGGCCCAATGGCCAGTGCCGCCCGATTTGGGCGACGGAGCGCGCCGATTCGGTACGAAAGCGGGTCCCGCCGCTGGACCACGAATCGATCATCCATGTTTGCGCCTCCTCGGCCCAATCCGTTCCGCCGTGCGTGCGCGTCGCAGCGACCAGGAGGTGGTTTTCCTGGAAGGTCCTCCGAAGGCCCCACCCGCCCCCTGGTCATCTCCCAT